TGTTTATTTGTCCCTTTCAAGGAAAGTCAGTTCACTTGGCGGCCATATTTTCAACACCTCCAAGTAGTAATGCCTAGTATCTACTTGGATGAGGAAATCATTTCAAAAACTGCTTTGCCAAAACTCACATTGAAGCAACATATTTCAAATCAGCAACAAAATTTGACATAATCTGCGTATAAATAAAATACGTATGACATAAAAAAAATGTATATTTCAGGCTGGACCAGCCAATGTGCATGTCCAGTCCCAAGCGCGTATCTCACAACACTGTTTCTGTGGGAACTGGCAGCTATACTGGCACAATGACTTTACCAACTGGCAACAGCCTCTTTTATTTCTGAAAGCGGTTACTAACTCCGCCATATTTTGCAGTGCATTTTCACCTGTTCGTAGTTAAATGACTGAAACATCTAGTCTTTGTGCTGGGTTTCAACACTGGGAAAGTGCTGTGAGCTGACACTCAAAAATGACTTTGTTGTACCCTAATGTAATTCAATAAATTATATGCTTCACTTAAATACAGTAGCAGTACCAGTTAATTAGATTTTTTTACCTAATGGCATCCAGAGAATTTTCCCCATCTCATTCTAAAGTGTTTATTTGCAGTCCATTATTTGGATTTTCATGAATCAGCCAGTAAAAGATTTAATATTCAGAATGTATGAATATATTCAAATGAATGAAACCATTTTAAGCCATTTTTGTATTCATTTATAAGCATTTTAATAAAATTCTTCATTTATCAAATCAATTTTAGACATTTTTGGCAAGTCATTTATTGGAAATCAAGCATGAATTAAATATATTTTAAGACCTGGAATTTTTGCTTGAAATAAGTTAGCATAAAATCACTTTTCTCATGTGCATCTCTCAGTCACAGGCAGTGGTATAGGATTTTCTTAAAGGTGACATACCTTGAAAATCGGAATTGTTCCATGTTTAAGTGGTATAATCGGGTGCCTGGTGCATCTACCAACCCAGAAAATGTGAAAAAGAACAACCCAGTAATTTTTTTGGTTAGCCGTTCTCTGCAATCATGTGGAAAAAAATGAGCCGCTCAGATTTCGCTCCCCCCGTGACATAGAAAGGGGATCTTATTATAATATTACTGCCCCGTAATTTGCAAGTTTCCACCCACGGCACCGCCAATTGTGTTTTCGCAAGCAACAACGGTGTACCAGTTTAACGCCATGGTGAAAGTTTGAGCAAAATATGCTAACTGCTCTGTCTCTGGCTACACTGACGAGCACAGAACACTATTTAGCCAGGAGACAAGAGAGCAGTGGATTTATTGATTTATTTACCGTATACACTCTTAAAAATAAAGGTGCTTCACGATGCCATAGAAGAACCTTTTTGTCTAAATGGTTCCATAAAAACCTTTAACATCTGAAGAACCTTTCTGTTTGACAAAAGGTTCTTTGTGGCGAAAGAAAGTTCTTCAGATTATAAAAAGGTAAGAAAGAGATGGTTCTTTAAAGAACCTTTGACTGAATGGTTCTTTGCGGAACCAAAAATGGTTCTTCTATGGCATCGCTTGAAGAACCTTTTGAAGCACCTTTATTTTTAAGAGTGTATGCTGCTACAAAGATCTAATATACAGTAAACATGTGATTGCTTTCCCAGCTGTTTACCTTCACAAACATAACCAACTGTTTTTGTAACTCGTGTGTTTTAACAAACTTGTGTATTTGGCAGCGAAATAAGACATGAAAGAGAACTTAGTTTAGTACTCTCATGCCATGTGACAGCCGCTTTCTGTGCGCGTGCTTCGAATGGGTGCGCTCAGAAAGCCGTATATCAGAAGTTTAAACTAATATGGTTTAAAACGGATGATTTCAGCGAGACATAGACATGATAATCAAAACCAAACAGAAGTTTTTTGGCAGACTATCTGAGGTCTGTAAAGGCACAGCTCTATTCTGGAAAAGGGGGCGGGGAGCAGCAGCTCATTTGCATTTAAAGAGACATGCACGAAAACAGCGTTTTTCTGCTTCCACTCAAAATAGGCATTTTCATATTATAAATGGGCTGTGGGGTATTTTGAGTTGAAATTTCACAGACAGATTCTGGGGACACCTGAGACTTATATTACATTTAGTAAAAAGAGTCATAATATGTGTCCTTTAATATTCAGTCATGAAAGGGGTTTACCTCACTCACCCCTATACCATTATCCTGCAGTTAATCATTGTTTATGGGGCTCCTGAAAGGAACTATTTAATAAAGGAATATTTACTAATTAAATTAATTGCAGTCAATAGTTTCACTATGATTTGTAGGGATGCACCGATATGAAAATTTTGGCCGATACCGATAACCGATTATTCTTTATTTTTGAAAGCCGATAACCGATATGTTGGCCGATAAATCTATATCCAAATTGTTATATACTTTTTGAGAGCCTGATTACAAAAAAGGTCTCATCATTAAAAGCCACATCCCAAACACTTCAACATAAGCAGCCTAGTTTGAACGGTGTACGTTTAAAAAATAATTTTACTCTCCCATTACCAAATTTAGTCATAAAAAAGTCTTACAAATAAATAAAATAATGCGGAATCTGCCATTGCAACCACATTACTAAAATACTGCCAATATTGCTCATTTGACATGTTTTGCTGACTAATAGCAACCAGTATTTAGGTTACTTACTCTCTTAAAGCTCTTTTTAGGGCTTATTTAGGGTAGAGGCTATCAGCTGAACTATTAGACCGGTGGGCTCCCCTGCTCTGTTAGAGTAACGAGTGAGTTCAGAGAGCAGCAGGTTACATGCAGACTAAAGTCTTCTGGGATTGAGCTTGGAGCCGTTGTCAGGCACCCCAGTCAGCAGGGAGTCTGTCTCTGTCATCACATGTTCATGTGTGGAGCATGAGCCTTTTGACAATGTGTTTGCATGTTTGTGTTTGATTATGCTTGTGTGCACCTCTGTGTGTTTTACATTTCCATTTGTGTATTCTGTTTGTATTTTCAGTGCGTTTATATGTGATGTAACTGAAAGTGCACGTCACTGTGTGTGTCGTCGTGCTTTAAGTGTGTGTTTGTGTCTGTTTTCCGATTCATTTAATTGTCAGGTCCTGGATGGTGGCCTGGTCCCTCGTGGTAAAAGCTGTTGTTTGCTTGGTGCATCTGTCGTGCTGTATGTCTCTCCAGACAACTCTCGCAACACGATAGCTCTCTGTTACCTTCACCTCAGCTTCAAACAAACAGTGCAGCTTCAGAGTGACAAACTCTGTCCTCTATACGGTTAAATACCTTAATTTCATCTGACGTCATAACGTCATGCGGTCCTCACTTTTTGCCATGGCTGATTTTGTTCCCCTACTTCTGAAACCACTTGCTGCAAGGATATATATATATATATATATATATATATATATATATAGTAAATGAATTTTTTTGTTGCAACACTGAAAACAATTTTAGTGCTAGAAGAGAGTTACGAGTATGCAAGTCAATTGCTCGTTCCTTTTAAGGAAATGGCCTAGTGTACTACAAAGATTTACCGTTGTTGAAAGATTCAGGAGTAATGGCCAAGGTATTACTGTACAGTTGCAACACTGAAAACAATTTTAGTGCTAGAAGAGAGTTACGAGTATGCAAGTCAATTGCTCGTCCCTTTTAAGGAAATGGCCTAGTGTACTACAAAGATTTACCGTTGTTGAAAGATTCAGGAGTAATGGCCAAGGTATTACTGTACACCATTTATTTTTATAATGGCAGTGAATCATGTGGCATTTATGCCTGAGTCCTCCTCTCTGAAGAGTGTGTGTGAAGAGGACAGCACGGAGTCAATAGCTTCACTCTGAGACGTGCATCCTCTAATAGCAGGTGGGAGGTTAAGTGCTATAATAAAACTACAAGGACCATGGCGGTCACTCTTCTTGGGGCCTTCTTGTTGTGTGCTGCCAGGCTTCAGCGTTTGCCATTGGGCGTATAATTTCAAAAGACAACTCAAGGCTGTTATTAGCCAAATGTTTAAAGTATAAGTCAGCCCCTGTAAAAAGTGTATATTTATGCTTAATGGTGTGATTTCGTGTGTGTGTGTGTGTGTGTGCGCGCGCATATGTGAATGTGCTAAGCAGGTGAATTCCAAAGTGTAGTTTTCAGCCCTCTTGACCTCATGAATATTACATCAGAGGACTGATGGCATGCAGAAGAGTAGATGAAATATTTACTACCACCTCCACCTCCATTCTTTTTTTAGGCAAGTGTTTGTTCTAACTATGATGGACCACTGTGTAAATAGCTTGCCTTTATGTGCACATTAACTCTTAAAAGCATGCATGTTTTGCAAATTATTCATACATGCCTTGTGGAATCACAAATTGCCCATATGCAAAAATGTCAGGCTTTGTAATGTCAATAAAATAATAATACTGAATATATTTTGGTATTTTATTTGTCACGTATCACATAGATATTGCAATAAATTATAGAACAGGATTCATTACTTCTGTACAGCACTTCTACAAATATGACATGATCAATGTTATTTATAAAAGTTTCAGAATTTCTTAAGACCGTTCATCACAGAGAAGTTATGGAATGCTTAAGTGGTAGGGCCACAAAAAAAAAATACAGTATTAAGAACTGTATTTATCCTAAATAAATAAGGTATCATCTAGCACAGTGATTGTGTAGTGTAGGATTTAGAGGATTTAAATTAATCTGGAAGTATTTACCCATGTATGAGATCTGAAAAAAAACAAAAAAAGTTAGCAGGCCCTATGTTTGTAACTGACCTGAGCACTGGACGTTTCTAAATAAACAACAAAACTAACTCTTGTATAACATTTTACATGTGTAGATTCAGTGGTAAATTGTATTGGTGTTGGTCATATTAATTTGAGCAAATATTTTGGAACAATACATATACATGTTACATAGCGTTCACACTTCTTCATACGTATTGTGAGTCGTCAGTGGCCCGTATGTGCGGAAGTGTTTGGTAACGCAGTTCTGCCACCTTGAGGTCATAATAATAATATTGCAACTACATTTCGGTTGAGACGTATTAACTGTGCGCACAGTAGAGACTTTGAAGACGGTGTGCTTTTAGCACGGAAGACGGAGGGCTTTTGGAAATATTGAAATGCCATGTTTCTATGCGTTTTGAGGTTTCTACCATCGGAGCTGAAGACTGACACGTTAAAAATGTGATCTGACGGTAACCAGGCGACCGCTTTCTGCATCAATACCCATATTTCCGTACTAATACCAACTATCTCTCTCAATGTTCGGGACGACTCGTGCTGAAATCTCCTAACATGAAGCATCGCATGGTAAAAATGAATTTTCTCAGTAGTGTGGAATCAAACACATTCAGACGGATGAGCGCATTTATACCGGTGTGATGTGATGTGATGTGATGGACGATCAGCTGATCACAGTATGACTGACATATAAATAGACCGAATTTTTATGTATGTAGAGAAGCTTTTTAATACAAATTTGAATTGCATCATGCCAGAAAGGTTACAGTTTACATACTGGTATTTTGGGCTTAATCTGGGATTATCATTCCGTTTTATGAAATGTGATCCTGGACCACAAAACCAGTCAGGTCATTTTTTTTTTTTAATTGATATTTATACAACATCTGAAAGCTGAATAAATAAGCTTTCCATTAATGTATGGCTTGTTAGGATAGGACAATATGTGGCCGGGATACAACTAGCCTATTTGAAAATCTGGAATCTGAGTGTGCAAAAAAAACAAAAACAAATCGCCTTTAAAGCTGTCCAAATGAAGTTCTTAGCAATGCATATTACTAATCAATTGATCTATTTACGGTAGGAAATTTACTAAATATCTTAATGGAACATGATCTTTACTTAATATCCTAATGATTCTTGGTATGTATTTTGTATAATGTATTTTTGGCTATGGCTACAAATATACCCCAGCGACTTAAGACTGCTTTTGTGGCCCAGGGTCACATATGAAAAGGAATGACTTTGCTCTGTAATGTTGTCTTGGATTATAAAGGTAGATTGAATTGGTCGTAGAATGGAGGTTCCTGCCGTAAACCACAGCTATACACATCCACAGCCATGGGCCGGACAGAGTCCCAGGACCCCAACCATACCTCCACCCAGCTGTCCATTTCCTTCATATCACTATCCAAACCTGAACCCAGATCAGCAGAGTGTGACCCCCATGACCCAAACGACAGGAACCGCAGCAGGCCATCGGCCTCAGTCACTGCAAAGCTACCAAGGTAAGAATAATAAATCTTTGAACATCACAATCTATGGAGAATTTAGCTGTCTGATGGAAGAACATGCTAACATTTTTGATCCTGTCTTGTCGCAGGAGTGTTCAAGCCTGTTCCTGAGATTACAAATAAGACGAATCAAGGAATGCCACAGAGAAGCTACTCATTACCAGTGAGTGCATGACAGTGTAGGGGAGAACGGGGGATATTTTATCATTTTGTTTTCTTTTTTATGTCGTATTTCAGGGTACATTTTTCTTTTTTCAAACTAATTAAAATCCTATACTCATTCTACTTTATCTTATACAATTTTATATATATTATATTTTATATATGATATTATTCTTAAATGTTGTTCACCTTTATCTGGTATTAAATCATTTAGCTGTCCCAGATTAATATGCATTGAAACCAAAATTCTCACTGTAATTCTACACTGTAACAAAAAATGATTAAATACAAATAAAATAATATTTTAACATGCATGTAAAAAAAAAAAAGGTTTCTACCAGTGACAGTGTAAGCATCTGTCATTATGGTGGACTTTTATCACTAATTTAGTGATTTAATAAATAAAACAAAATTGTCAATAAATGAAACAATAGCATAACACAAGAAAAGTTCTGGAAATTCAAAAATATCTAAATTAAAAAGTTGTAACAATCACACTTCTTTTTCCCAGACAGAGTGAACTTTAATGAGTAAGTGCTCTTTAAGTGTCATAAGTATGGCTTGTATGTGACTGATGAAAAGTCTAATTGTCTCAGTCTCATGTATTATACAAGCCTGTGGCCCACATGATCTGTATTGAATTTACTGAAGGATCACTTTCTTTTCCTCTCTTTTGTCAGACGAGTCCAGTGTCAAATTCTAAGACAGAGTCTCGATACGGCCTGGATCCTCAGCTTCTGCCCAGTGTGGTAAATGAGCCGGCCCTCTTATTCTGTAATGTTTCCATCAAGACAGCTCAGGTTTGATTGCACTGTTGTGCATGGCTGTGTTATTTTGTCTCAGTGTCTAAATGTCTCTTAAATGTTCAGGTCCAGGTGATTAAAGAGGACAGGATCCAGTGGGAGGGGAAAGTGTTTGTTTCAGAATGCAAATCTTCAGTTCCCCTTCTTCCTGGGCAGAGTTCTACAGGAAATGTCACTTTTCAACCCTGAGTCGGATGGATCCGGCTCACAAGAGCTTTCTGTTTCTGCAGGGCTGAAGATTCTTCAGGCAAGAGCCTTAATATGAGTCTTAAACATGCACATGCCCTTGGATAGTGCTACTACTAATAATACAATTATAATTAAAACAGAATTTTTAAGGAATATTTACCAGGAAAATTTACCAGAATTTAAATGCATTCAAATGCAAGTATTTCTGAAAAATAAATAAATAAAATAATAATTTTTAATAAAATTAATTAATTAGGGATATTTTTGATTATTAACATTTAATGAAAATGGAATCCAGAAAATTAATGGAAAACAGAATTTGGTAAAAATAAAACTGAATTTGAGAAAAAAAAAATGTATTTCATAGGGCCTTAAAAAATTATTTTTGTTAAACATTTTAGTTATAACAAGTTATTGTTAAATTATGTATTTCATGATTTCAATTAATTACAAATGCTTTTTGATAAAAAAAATTTTCATTTAACCATTTAAACAGAGTCTAAAAAAATTTAACTGGGGGAAAAAACGGAATCCAGAAAAATTTTAACGGAAAAAAATGAATTTTGAAAATATTAAAACGGAATTTGGGAAAAATAAAACTGATTTCATAGGGCTCTAAGTATTATACTCTCATGTTGACTACTAGCGACCTGTCAGATGTCTTGTTTTGTGTGATGCGATTGTCACATATTCTTTTATTTCTATCTTTGTTTATGTTTTTCTTTTTCCTCATAAGCAAAACCAGTCATAATTTTTAGGTTTTTCATTGACTTTCTAGTAACAAACTGTCAATGTCTTAAAGAAAGCGACGTTACCGCATTAGCAACTAGTCATTTAGTTTGGTTCTGTACGCTATGTGGATTTATTGTAATCAGAGTGAATTTTTCAAGAGTGACGTTTTCAGAATGTGGTTGTCACTTCTATAAATAACTAAACTAGGACACAGATACACACTTTATTCTGTCCGCTTCCTGCTGTGTGAAGAGAACTGGATTAAGCACTCAAAAGAAGAGTTACAACCATATTTAATGTAGTGTGAACAAACTGTGTCATTTCATACTAAATCTTTCCATGTACTTTTCTTTGCAGTCGGAGATGGAACAGGAACGCTTCCGAGCTGATCTGAGCAGATGTGTGGATATGCAGATGGCCTTCAAAGTTCAGCTCAGAGTTTTTGTCAGTAAAGGTAAGCAAAGGGGCGTATGAAAGAATCTAGAAACCCAGATTCCAAGACAGAGAGGAACTAAGAAGGTTATTACCAACTAAACGTTAAGACTGTAGTTGAGCATTGAATTCATTTTTTGAAATGTAATCAAATTAGACACCTACTATACATATATAAGTCATAGTCTATATAAAACAATCTGTCAAGTATCAAATCATTTGAGTACTTGAATGGATAGTCACTTGTTTGTAACTTGAATTCGATGCATGAGTGCCAGATGTTATTTGTAAATAGCTGGTGGGCATATTAACAGCTCAGTCGCTGTGCTTCTGCAGAGATGCGCATATCTGGTTGCTATGGCTCCTTCATCGCCGGTCCTGACTCCTGCTGTGTTGCCATGGCAGCGCTTGATTGGCACACAGCTCTGGCATTTGAGTTCACTCACAACAAGTCTTTAGATGAAACGAGGGGTGTAGCCATACAGGTAGTATTGATGTGATGATATAAAATCATAAATTATCATATTAGTCAGTCTCAAATTTTGATAAAAAATTATCTGAGATTAATGGATATGATAAATAATTTGATGTGTTGTTCATTTAAAGGGGTCATATGATACTATTTACATTTTTCCTTTCTCTTTGGAGTGTTACAAGCTCTTGGTGCATAAAGAAGATCTGTAAAGTTGCAAAGACTAAAGTCTCAAATCCAAAGAGATATTCTTTATAAAAGTTAAGAGTCAACCACGCCTACCTAAAACGGCTCGTTCTAACACGCCCCCACAT